TGAGATGAAGGTCTACTTTTGTCACTTAATGCTCATTTAGAGGGGTTTCCCAGTCTGCAGCCTCACAATGGTTTCACTGCTGCACAGCTTTTGAAATGAGATTTGTGGCCTGTAAACACAATGCTTCCTTTTTTTTTAAAAACTTGTAGAATTCAAGGAGTCTATGGAAATGAAATTTAATTGACAGTCAGATTTTAGTGGACGTAAAGTATATATGGAATGACTGATGTGCCTTAAAAGTAAGTTCTTTGTGATAAAAATATTCTGTGCTCATTATAAACATAAAGGAAATAATGCTTCTGTTTTCGTTTTGCACTTCCAAATGTTCAGAAGGGATTGATGCAGAGACTGAATATCTATGTGCAGCAGCATACTTAAAAGCAGGGCATTTTCTGTGGTTTTAATTTATTTCTCATCACAGTTACTCATCTGATTCAAAGCCTCAAGAGGATCTTATTTCTTCTGAGCTAGTGAAAAGTACTGTCAATAAAGATGTGCAGTTTACACCCCTTTTAAGTGCATTTCCCTCTAAATTAGTGAATACAGAGGATTTCTATAAAACTTTTTTAATGTAAAAACTGAAGCTGCTTCAAGTAAAATGGGGCTGATTTATTTTTTTTAATTACAGCGTTCTCTTATTACTTGTAAAAGCTGAAGACTGGAGTTTGTAACGTATTGTGTGGTGTTAACTTTTCATAAAAAGTTATCAGCTCTGCTACTCACACTGTGGTTGTGCTTCAACTGTAAGTCAGCTCATAGCATATACAAGAGAAAAACAGTCAATGCAGCTTTTGCTTAAGGAAAAGGCAGAAGATATGTTTTAAATGTGTTGTGTCTTTGATCACATCTGATGAGCTGGTTGAAACACTCTCTGTGCTGTTGTGGGAGAGCAAAATCTTGCTATGAGGAGATATTGATTTTAACAAGTACCTGATCTTTAACTCTTCATTTGCTCATTTCACCATGAAGAAAATTTTCTGTCAGTCTTAAGTGAGAAGTTAATGTATCATTTTCAAACCCAGTTTTCTGAACAGTACCACTGTTTGTAGGGTATTGAAATATTGAACAGCGTAACTTAGCTGGGATGGGAACTCAGTGCTCCTGTCCTTCAGCTGCCTCTGTGGGAGTTTTGCGTGAGTGAGAAACGCAGAATTAGCCTCTTCAAGGATTGAGGCAGATGGAGGGGGCCTTATATATAGGAGATTTGACAGGATCACAGCTTCAAATCATTGTCTGAAATAAGAATCAGGCCCTTATTGTTCTGTATGATCTCTGCTCAGAAGAATCTTGTTGCTGTAGGAGCAGTGGTGATTTCTGAGAAGTAGACCTGAGGTGAAAGACTACATGCAAGCAGCTTTGCCCACATTGGGCTGTATCATCCTATGTGAGTAATCCCAGAAAACTTCAGTGGAGTTTACTTGTGAATGAGGCAGCTACTCAGTATGGGCAAGGATGTTAGGAGCTTCCTTAGGCATTGCCTCTTTTGTAGTGAATGTGCCTGAGGAATTTAAACAACATTTGTGCCTAAATGTAAAACAGAAGGAACATAGTCCTCTCTGCTTAGCTTTGACTGCTGTTCAAACCCACAGAAGATGTGGATAAATGTTTTTTTGACTATATAACCAGAGCAACAAACCCTACTGTATATTTTCAGTATAAGCTGTGTGAAGAGCATAATCTGATTCCATCTGTTTTTCAGAGAAGAAAACTGTTGGTCCCTTTCTTGCTCTGTGAAAGCTGGTATCGGTTAGAACAGCATCTGAGAAGTGTAATGATTTTGTAGGAAATGTCAGTAACATCATGCATTTCGGGAGAATGTTCTGACCTTAAACTGGGACTGCTCACGAAGGAGAGAATACCTACAATCTGTCCAAGAGGAAGGCCAGATGCTGAGTTTGTTTTCATGGTTGCTCATTGTGACCTTGTTGAAGAGCAGAAAGCAACTAGATGCTCCATGGAAAAAGCTCTAATTTGGAGGTGAAACAATCAGTGCATGAGTAAGTGGCTACCCACAACACTGGAGGAATTAATATTTACATACCTTCTTCACACTGTAGGCGAGTACAGTGGAGGAATTTGCCTTTTTTGTTGCACAATAAGAAATACTAATTTGTATTCCAGATCTGTGGGTCAGCTAGGCCATACAAAAGATGACACAGGAGAAAGCAGATAGGGGATTGTTCACTTCAGTGTTCAACACCAAGCTCAGATTTGTCCTTTGTCCTTGAAATGAAGCCAAAAATGCAGTTTGGCACTTGGACCCAAAGGCTATGTAACATCAATAGTGCTACACTGAATATAGTCTAGTTTTAGCAAAAATGCATCAGGCCATGTTATATATCCTGCACGTCTCTCTTTCAGGGCAGAAATAGGAGAGTATGAAACTTAAGGCATGTGAGAAAGGAGTAATCAGCAGATTGAAGAGCCACAGGTGTATTGTAAAAGTTTCCTAGACCCCATTCTGATAACTGAGCTGGCTTTTAATTTTGTGGGTGACAATCACTGTGAACTCCTAGGAAAGAATTAGGGAGGTACAAAATATAGAAATTGTAGAAATTTGCTTCTCAAGGACACAAAAAAGTGGCAAATTGCTCAGAGAATCATGCTGAGATGGTTATACCAGATGCCTAGTCCTCCAGTGAGTGCATAACTGTTACTGGTTTTAGTGGGAAAGGCTGGGGTATCTTCATCTCACAGTGACTGTCATACTTGATCTGAATTAAGGTAATAGCTACAGTTGGCACATTGCCTTTGTTTGAAGAGACAGCCCTTAAGAGTATGACAGAAGATATTTTCAATAGTTTCTCTCCTCTGGCACATGTCCTTCACTACGCTATCCCAAACATTTTTTAATTCAATTGTACAATGATTGATAAGGTAGACAAAGGTTGTCAATATCTTACAGAA